CGAGCCGAGCCCGGGCCGTCCGAGCCTTCGAACTTTTTTGCCATCGCTATCTCTGTATGGGGTTCGGCGCCTCAATTTTCACTACCACGTGGCATCTTTGACGAAACTGGACTTCGTTGCAATTTTCAGAAATTTACTGTTTATTGCATTCTAAAATGGGTTCATAACTTGTTGATCCTCTGTATGTTGCCGACATTTACGTTAACGGAAAAGATTAATTAATTAGGTTGACACTTTGCCCTTGTTTGGTACGGTTAAAAAATCTGATTAAAATCTAAATTAAAGTCAATAATTAATTTTAAATATACACTTTATGTGATCCACAACTTTTCAACCGTACATCTCATTAACTTTTATCAAAATATACTAAAAAATTGATTTTAATCTATATCAAATAGGGCTTAATAACATCCGACAAAGTTGTGCTTGACTAATGGGATGAGTTTGTCGAAAATAACGTACCACGTGAATAGATAGAAGATTCCATTCTTGTTTCTTGATATTTTAGGTCACGAATTTTTATTTTTATATAAACGGCGATTCTGCTAATTTAAGTTCGATTTATTAACTCCAATTGAATCAATATAAAGTCGGAGAAGCAGGTTGCTGGGCTATCACAACTTGAACATTGTTCGAGCGAATTCCAGAGATCACATTAGTAACTAGAAGAGGTCACTTTACCTAGTATTCAACCGTACATTGAATACAAACCGTCGTAAATAGGCACTAAAATGAGTGAAGAGTTGGTGAACAAATCCTTCCATTTAAGCTTTAGTTTTTGTTGAAACTTGAAGATGAGTAAATATTTTCAATGACAATCACATTACCAAACATAATTTTTACCATTAAGCATAGATTTGATCCATCTATTATTAATCCACTAAAGTTATAGGCTGCTTTCTTTTTTAGTCAAAATTCCATCTTATCTCATTTGTTTAACTTTGTTAGGCTAAGAAGGAGAATTACGTAATTTCTTCAAGTTATTTACATATTTGGGTATTCAACTTTTAGAGAAAATTTATCAGTGTTAGTTCAATCAGGTTGTTCATCTATAATTTTCTTACCCAATAGGTCACTCAGTGACATTTTTTCAAAAAAAAAAAAACTGATTTATATGGTAAGTATTCACACATCAAAATATTACTTCTTCGTAATTAATTTTTAATGGAAGCAAACTGAATGACATTTGTACAATAAAATTTAAGAGGGATGATATAATTCAACAAATTGGAGTTGTTTGATCATTATCAGTTTTATCGAAGGTAAAATATACAATTTACTCGAATTTCCTACGTTATATTTTTTTTAAACTTACCATTCTTATAGGAGGTAAATATGCAATTTACCTTAATTTCCCAAGTTCTATTCATTTTTAACTTAGGGCCCATTTGATTGCAAGGGTGGAAAGAAAATAAATTCCAAAGAAAATAATTGTTTAGAACTTATTTTTCAGAGAATTGTTAATAAAGTGTGTTTGATTTGTATAATTTTCTACCCAGGAAATTTTAAAATTTTGGATCTTTTTTGTGTTCGTTTGACTTTATTTTACTTGAAAATTATCCATTAAAGTGATAATTTTTTCCACAATTGGTTATAAAATTTGTTTCCATTGTAAAAAAAAAAAAAATTCCAAGAAAATCATTTTTTATCAATGCTTAGTGTTCGTCTGGCTTTATTTTACATGGTAATTGTCTATTAAAATGAAATTTTATTTACAATTGATTATAAAATTTGTTCCAATTGCCAAAAAAAAGCTGGAATTCCATTTTCCCACCAAAATGGTGGGAAAATTAATTCCACAATTTTCATGAAAATGTGCATTTGTGGAGTAAAGTAAAAAAAAAAATTTCATGGCAAAAAATGACATCAAACATATGGGTCTGTTTGTTTTTTATTCTCAAATTCTACAGTAAATCAATTCTCATTTTCAACCACACATTTTTCAATAAAATAATATTTTCCATCACTTCAATAATTTTTTCTTCTTTTTCAACCACACATTTCTCATCATATCACTATTCAAAAATCAATTATTCCCACAAAAATCTCTACCAAACAAACACATAGCCTTACTTTCTTCGTACCATCAATTTGGAAAAAAAAAATTTCATGGCAAAAAATGACATCAAACATATGGGTCTGTTTGTTTTTTATTCTCAAATTCTACAGTAAATCAATTCTCATTTTCAACCACACATTTTTCAATAAAATAATATTTTCCATCACTTCAATAATTTTTTCTTCTTTTTCAACTACACATTTCTCATCATATCACTGTTCAAAAATCAATTATTCCCCCAAAAATCTCTACCAAACAAACACATAGCCTTACTTTCTTCGTACCATCAATTTGGAATGAAAAATGCTATTCATCCCCAGTAGGGATGCACCTCCAGTCTATGTAAATATAAATGATTGGTTAAATGATAGGTGAAATTAAATGACTTATTTAATTTCACATATCATTTAACGCCACATTAACGCCACATAGACTGAGCCACATTAACGCCACATAGACTTGGAATACATAAAAGTTGAAGTCAAAATCAATAAACAATTTTAATTACACGTTTCATTAACTTTTATAAAAATTCGTTAAAACTTTTATTAGAAGCTCTATGAAACATCCCTATATCTCTTTGTTTTATCTATCAATCATGGGCCATACCGTTCCAAACTTATCTTTTTCCTCTGATCAGAAATTTATGATGCATATTGGTTTTAGTGTCTCATAGGAAGTTGCCATAAATTAAGATATACATGCACATATATACTGCCAACTGTGCCAATGGCCAGTCCAAGAAAGGCAACAATTAGCCTATATATGTTAATTTTTGAACTAAATCAAGAATCTAAGTATGGAACAAGAATCCCTTATTTCTATCGTTTGTTTCTTCCCATTCTGATACTATAAATCTTGGGTCGACCACACGAATCATTTTCAGAATTTGAAAAGACAAAAGGCCATAAGCAAAAATAATAGAGATGCCTGCAGTTTGGTTTGCTTTGAAGAGATCTTTACAGTGCAAATCAGAGCCATTGGATGTTCATGATCCTAAGGGGAATGGGAACGGGAATCTGAGCCATATATTGACAAGGAAATCGGGCAGTGGACGGTCTGGATGTTCTAGGTCTATTGCAAATCTGAAAGATGTAATTCACGGAAGCAAAAGACATACAGAGAAGCCACAAATTTGTAGTCCAAGATCCATTGGAAGTAGTGAACTTTTGAACCCAATAACGCATGAAGTGGTGTTAAGTAATTCAACTTGTGAACTAAAGATCACGGCCGGATATGCTTTCCAAGAAAGTGGTGGCAGTGGTTCGACGTTTGTGGGCACGCTTAAACCAGGGACTCCGGTCCTGGGGCGGCTGAAGGGAAATAAGCCTAGAGGATTGGCTAGTCCTATGAGGAGGACATCTAGTAGCCTTTCCAGGACGAGTTCTGGATTTGGGGTGATTCCCACGAGGCCTAGGGCCTCCTTTGGTGCAGATTCTAATGGTACTTTATTTTGCCATAAATGTGGTGAGCAATTTGTTAAATGGGAAGCCATCGAAGACCATCACCTCTCCAAACATGCCGGTAAATTTTACCTTCCATGCTTTGGCGACCTCAAGTTTATTGGAAAAAGAGTTAATTTCGTTCTTGTTGTCGCGTATGTTATTAATCTTTTTTTTTCTCCTAACAGTTACTGAACTTGTTGAAGGAGAGTCCTCAAGAAAAATAGTCGAAATAATTTGCCGAACGAGCTGCACAAAGCCAGACAGTAATTGTGGTGGAATTGAGAGGATTTTGAAGGTCCACAACATGCAGAAAACACTAGCACAATTTGAGGAATACCGAGAATTAGTGAAGATAAAAGCAACCAAACTTCCCAAGAAACATCCTCGTTGTCTAGCCGATGGAAACGAGCTTTTAAGGTTCTATGGAGCAACAGTCGAATGCAATCTAGGCATCGATGGCTCCTCCAGCCTTTGTACATCAGATAAATGTTGTGTTTGTCGAATTCTAAGACACGGGTTTTCATTGAAAAAAGGGGTAAATGATGGTAGTGTTGGAGTATTCACAGCTTCAACAAGTGATAGAGCATTTGAATCAATCCAATTACATGATGAAAATCCTTCTATAAGAAAGGCTCTAATAGTGTGCAGAGTTATAGCAGGCAGGGTTCATAGGCCTTTAGAGAATGTTCAAGAATTGGCCGGTCAATCAGGATTTGATTCATTGGCTGGGAAATTAGGTCCCCATTCAAATATTGAAGAACTCTATTTGCTCAGTCCAGGAGCTCTCCTTCCTTGCTTTGTGGTAATTTACAAACCTTAAGTCGTTGTAGACGAAATTTTAACTTCTTTCGAGCACTTGAAGCTGGCTCGTGCTCAAGTAAGTTTTGTGGATTCAGCATTATTTCCCGTTTTCCACTACCTTTTGTTTAGATTTTGTACACTTGTGTTTATAAAAGCCATTTTTTCCATGCTACTTTTCACTTATAAGTGGAAATTGTGGATTAATTTATCAAAATTATAAATACATGATCTGTCATTAAGTATTTCTCTCTTTGCTGACAGTTTTCTATTTCACTTCTTGGTAGACATAAATAGGGACTCTGTATTTAATCCCCAACTTGGCTCGTCAGAGAAAAGTTATCTCATCTGACTTTGCATGTTGTATTGTTTTAGGAGTAGAGCATGTGGTCCCATTCTTGCTTCATCTTGTTTATTTCACGACATATTTGATACGTTTAATTGAATAAGACAAACATGTTATTCAATCGAATAAGACAAACATGTTACTCGAAATGGTTGGGACAAATTTGTTGCTCGACTAGATAAGATAAATGACAATTGGCTTTTATTTATATTCATTCTTATAAAGTCTAATATACTAAATATGTCATTAGTGTAACTTTTTCGAGCATATTCAATTTTGTCATTCCCAAATTTTATAGGGTCTAGTGCTAAGGTGTGACAAGATTGGGCATGTTTTGGATCTAAATTACATGTCTTTGATGCTACTCTATTTTATGACCAATGCTCCTTCACAACTGCTCATCAAAGTAGACTACGAGCTCATTTGAATTTGTAATCGCTGCTTATATACTCAATAATGACCATAATTCACAAAGACATTCTTTAATCTTAGTAAGAGGAAGACATACCAAATGTTAGATGTCACATTATTAATGGAATTCTATATGATGTCAAACGAAAGAATCGTCAATAAGAGTTGATACCCAGATTCGATAGTTGTCACTTTCTCTCTATCCAACACATTATTTAGTTAAGAGGCATTTTTTATGACAAACATAATGCATCTTATGGTAGAGAATAAAATGGAAAATATACACGCACAATTTATTTGTCTATTCGAGAGTTATGCTCCAACGAGTTGAGTTAACGCTTTGATTTGAAAATTATTTGTAATAAAAATAAGTTATTTTAACAAAAAGGAAACAATATTTTCATACAATTGTTATCAAATTCATAATTTTTTCAAGATTTGTCAAATCCAATTAAGTTCATTCCATGAAAAATCTTTTTATATCAAACTTTGTTGAATACATATGCAATATGACTTTTTATAATCTTCAATGATTTTTTTTTTTTTTTTTTTCTGATAAAGCACAATTTCAATATTCTAGTTGAGTTTTTAAAAAATAAAAAAAGAAAATCTTGATAAACCATAACTTTACATAAGAATGTTATAACCTTGTTATTAAAGAAAAAACAAATTTATACACGTCAATATTTTGAAAAAGCACAACTTTATATATATATATATATATATCAATAAATTATTATTTCAAAAGTAACATGTTATTGTGTTAAATCGCAAATGGATTATATCGCATAGTACTAGTAGTAAAGAGTAAGTGTCGAGCGTCGATCTATGATCTATGACTGGGGAGGTTTGTGTGATTTTCCAAAAGGGATGGGGTGTCTTTGTATTTGTCGAAAACTATGGGGAGAATTATGTAATATTCTAAAGGAATAAAAAAGATACAAATACATGACCAAAAAAAAGAAAATAAAAGGGAAAGAAAAACCTAAAGTATAGTTAGGGCAGACGAATTGAGTGGATTAGCGTCTCCCAAACGAAGGTTTCAAACTCTTCTCTCCCAAATACCAAATCCCAGTTTCCTTTTCTCTGTTTAAGTTTCTGCAGACTGCAATTATTACTATTAGATAGATTTTTAGATAGGGGAAAATAGTGGAACTATAATTTTTTCTTTTATATTTTTATACAGATTTATTCGGTAAATTATCAAATTGGGGGAGAAGGGTTTTTTATATTTATATATACACATCTGTGTAGATTCATATATATTGAATAATTTAGTGAGAGATTGCAAGAAGCAAGTAGAGTGAAAATGTCGAAGAAGAAAGCAACGATGACTCTGAAAGATTTCCATGGCGGTTCGATTCCTTCCGATCTTCGTCTCCCCTCTGCACCAGGCGTGTGAGTTCTTTTGACCTTTTTGCCCCTTTCATTTCATTATTGATCGTATCGGAATAAGTATACGTGTCTAAGTCTGTTTTTGTAATATTATTTTTGGGAAAATGTCGGTTTTCTCTTTGGGTTTGAGTTCAATACTATACTTGTTCATTTGATTTCAATTCAAGATCATTTTTTAAGTTGAATTTTATACCCAATTGTTGTGTCATTTCCCATTAATTTCTTGAATCCAGGTTTATTTGTTTATATTGTTTAGTGAAGCTCAGTGCTTCTTTAATTGATATTTTACATAAATTGTCTAGATCTAACTTCTAGATCCTTGAAATGTAAAAACCATATGAACTTTAAATAATATTATTTTTTGAAGCATGTGGTTGACGTTTTATTTACTCCGTAATTCAGAACAGTAAAATATATAAAGTGGATTTCTTATTTGAAATTTTGAATATGGTTTGTATTGTTGGACAGAATGGCGAGACCTGCAGATCGTGGTAGTTTTGATCAGCAGTCTCCATGGGGAAATTTGATGGGTAGGTCCAATCAACGCTTGCGGCCGGCATCAGCTGGGTCAGCTAGGAACTTTGAGGACAAGACCCCATTTTTAAGTAACAGTGCTCACATTGGCCGCAATTTTGACGAGGATGAACGCAAACCTTTGGATGGGTTGTCAGGTTCTCGTCGAACTGTCAGTGATGAGAGCAACCATGCTCTGCAAAGTCGTGTGGTAGAACCTAGGATAGATAGTTTGGCTGGTGCTGGAGTTGGTAGTCAGCTGTCTTCAACCCGTCCCTCTCATTTGTCTAGTGATCCAACTGTTAGTTCTTATGCTGGAAATGCTGGAAGGCATGGTGAAGTTCATGGCAGTGCTGGGGTGAATTATCAGAACGTGGGTGTCAATTCCAGGTCAGTTGTCGCTGGTTCCTATTCAAATCCGTGGGGTGCGAAGAAGGAGGTGGCACATGTAAGGGATCCTGTATCTGCTTCATGGTCAGCTCCGGATGTTGCAGTGAAGCTGGCACATGCTAGTGCCATTGAGAAGATCTCATCTGGTCGGTGGCATTCGCAACATGTTCATCCTCTAAAAGATGTTGAGGTCATTGGACAGTCAGAACCCGAGAGAGAATTTCATTATCGGGGCAAAGATATGTATAACAGGAATATCAACAATGGCGTAGACGTGTTGGGTGGAACTGACGATCATGATATTGCATTGGCGACGCGTATGGAAAGGAGTCTGATTGCTGGTGATGGGATTCACAATGGTGGAAAGGAGACACTGTCTCATGATAGAGTCAGGTCTACCATGTACGCGGAGACGCATGGGAGGAATCCCTCCGTTAATCACAAGGAATTTCAGCCACGTAGCACTGCTGGAGTATCTGTTGAGACTGAGTTACAGTCTCCAGGGACTTCAGAAGCATCAGAGCGGCCCAAATTGAAGTTACTTCCAAGATCCAAACCGTTAGAGAATTTAGAGCTTCCCGTCGATTATAAAAAGGTAAAAGTCGGTGTTTTAATGTTCTGGTATTTCTATTGAACTTGAAATCAAGAATAATTTAATGTATCTTTGCAATTCGTCTTTTTGAGTGATAGGGAAACCAGCAGCCAAGTGATCCGATTCATGTGATGGATGACAATGAATTACCCAGAACTGCAAATCCCGTAGAACCTGGGTTTACTGGATCAATGGTCGTTAATCGAGCGGTAGAGCGCCCAAAATTGAATTTGAAGCCTTGCTCACAACCTCTTGAACAATTGGAGGGAAACACTGAAATCAAAAGGTCCGCTAACTTTTACAAACTAGCTCACAGAATTGTGTGTTGTTTATTTCTTCTGGACCTGTTTGCATTCTTAGTCTATTTGATTTTTTTTTATAACTCATGAAAGGATTAATAGATTACATTTACTATTGATGAAACTTTAAAGTAATTGACATATGATAAACTGAGTTGAATTACTAACTGTTTCAAAATAGCAATACATGTAACTTTTATGTAAAGGAGATGATAAAGGTACTGTGCTCCAAGGAGATGCTAATAAACTTGGTCATTGTTCACAGCCTTATCAAATTGTGGCAACTTATAATGACTTCAACAAGGTACCTTAATGTTGACAATGAGTGCATTTTAGGAAAAGGCAATTGGGTCGTCAGCTTGCTAAGTCTGCAAATTTTTAGTGTTAGAATGGCAGAGAAGTTACAACTTGGAACTTGTTAGCCCACTCTCATGCAATAAGTAACACTCAAAGACCACCCACTGCAGGTACCCTTTTCTTGAGGTTTTCACTGCCAATGACGATGGTAAGTCGTAGCACAAGACTTAGCAATCACTAGAGTTGGTGTAGAAGCAGTACCAGTAGTTCAGGACCAGAGCAGCAGTGACTACATTAACGGGTTGTAACAGTAAAGGACTCTGGCAATCAGTTATAACCCATTATAACTTATAATAGAGTTATTGATGAAGCTGCAGTAGCAGAAATACCAATAATAGCATTAAGTCTGATAACTTTAGCTTAAGAAAAGAACTAAGCTTGTTGTACATTTATCTATTATTTATCAGATATAAAACAGTTCAAAAGATAGTATTTTTCTTTACTATCACAAATTACCTTTCTCATGCTGGTTTCTCTTCGAATTTTAGTTTTTTCCCAGTTAGAACTCTCTTGTTGATCCTCTCCATTTCGGTCTTTGTCATTGTCACAGAAATACTGTGTTCGCTGGGGCTCGTCCACGAGAAGTGGTAAGTTCATTTCCCTGTCATTATCAAATTGTCTGAAAAATTCATTTGGAAATTTCAAGTTATTCTTTCGGCTTGATGCTTTAGTTCTAAACCCCTATTTATAGGCTTTTTGGATATTCATTTTTTATCTCGGTCTTGCTGCTGCTACAGCTGTGGTTTTATCTTAGGCCATGTTTGATGTTACATATTTTCCATGGAACTTGGAAATTTTCCGAGTTCCAACTTTTTGGTTGTTTGATAACCAATTTTTTCTTGGCAATTGGTTTTCCCCCCACCCCCTCACGTGACCCTCTTTTCCATGTTTTCATTGAATCCATTTTCCCACCAAAGACCCACCACTTTTGTGGGAAAATGGTTTTCTAGCTTCTTTTTTTTTTTGGGCAATGGAAACAAATTCTATTCTTAATCGTAAAAAAATTTTCCCTTTAATGGACAATTTCCATGGAAAACAAAGTCAAACGAACACGAAAAGATCCAAAATTTCAACATTTTCTAGGTGGAAAATTATACCAGTCAAACACAATTAATTGACAATTCTAGAAAAAACAATTTCTAAGCAATTATTTTCTCTGGAATTCGTTTTCTTTCCACCCATTTTCCATTCTACCAATCAAACGAACCCTTAGATTCTTAATAATTGATGGTTGTGGGTCCTTTCTACATCTTTTCTGTATGATTGTTCCATGGTTAGCTTTATATCCGTCTACCAGGTTCTGAAAGATCGGGGAATTGATGGTGTTGCCGCTAACCTTTATGACAGTCAACCTCCCTCTAGGTATCGATCTAATTTCAGTTCTTTTTAATTAGAGTTTCTATGAATCAAAGATTAGTGCATGTTCACACAACTCCTTTTCTCATCTTTATTTGCATTATTTACTGCTTGAAGGATCAAGCAAGATGCTCCCAAGATGGATCCAGTGTCTTTGCAAGTTACTCCTGCCGGTTACAGTGAGAAAGCTAAAAAATTTCTGGGTGATCAAAGGGTAGCGAGGAGTTCTGATAGGCGAGATCAACTTGTGGACATCGAAAGAACAGATGCACAGAGGAGGAACAAAGGAAATGAAAGTTGGAGGAATTACAGAGAAATTGAGAAACACAACAATGACCTGCAGCTGCAGCAACAGGAGAGGCCACCGTCACCTGACTCCTGGCGCAAGCCTGTTGAAAACCCAAAACCCGACTCCGCGCCTGCTCCTGGGCAGCGTTATGGGAAAGTGGCTTCCGCTCTTGAGCTTGCCCAGGTCTTCTCCAGACCAATCTCTGATCCGACTATTGCTGATCGTCTTTCTGGCCCCCGAGGCATTCCAAGCCAGAGTCAGATACCTTTTTCTCGGTTAACAGGTCGAAGCCCGAAGCCTCAGATTAATGGTTTCTGAATTATCACTATGGCCGATACACTTAAACGAGAGAAACTTTCACCCTTGCCAAATGTGCATTTGCACCTGAATCCCGGATTGTGGTGTGTTTTCTCTCGTTCGTAGTAATCATTGATAAGGGATCCCATTGGTACTTTCGAGCCACCAACAAACTGCAATGGAGGAAGAAAATAACATTTTTTTCACGTTGACAATAATCACATAAGTGTTGTATTTCAGGAAAATCTATTTACAAATTTCCAATTCAAGTTCATCTAGCCTAATTTGGGATTTATGAATTTGTGAATTAATTTATTTTCCATTGATCGCATTTGCCATTGTGCTTTAGTTTCCATTGATGCTCTTTCTTTCCATTGCACTCACAAATTCAATTTTTTTCAAATGTAATAGAGGTTTCAAAGTTGCCTGTTTAAGCTTAAACAATTTACTTATAAGTAAATAAGTTAATTTCATATAAAATAAATATTTTTATTTAGTAATTTTGGCACATTAAGCTACATCAAATTTTGTCTGCTGTACTGTATTAACATGGATTCTTGAGCATGTACTGTCTCTCTGTCTACCTGTCCTTAATTAACACTACTAATGAAATTATTTAAGTAGTTGATAATTTAAGGATGTCGGTCCCATTTATGCAGGTTTTATTTATTTATTTTGAGAGAAGATTTTAATATTTATTTGCTCGTCTGTATAGTTAACTTTCTTGACAACATTGCAATTTCAAGAAATGATTTAATACAAAGAAGAAGGTTAGTAATGCAATGACATTGACCACAAGCAATGTGACTAATCCGAAAGACTTACGAGAAATAGTTAAGGCTTCCGAATAAGATATAGTCGAGATCACTTGTATTAATACTCTAAAACAACTGCTCGACTGGGCAGGCGACACCGATGACAGTCTGTTGCTTCTTACCAGCTGCGGCTGTGGCTGCTCTAAGCCCTCGACCAATACTCGGGAAATCGGAAGGGGAAATCCTTTTCGTGTTTCATATAGAGCTTCTACTACGCGGAAATGGAGAAATCTTGCTACTTCTGATGTAAATGCACACAGTTTCAATTTCGTAGTTACTTTTAAATCATCAGAGATTTGTATTCTCTATATATAAATCTATTTGATCTATATATGTAAAGAAGATACGTATTCTAACTTGCAGGATGAATATTATAAACAAAAAGTGGATAAAATAATGCAACTTTTGAAATCATCAGAAGAATTTGATGATCCAATCGGAAGTTTGATTCTGGTGGATGAGATTCAACGGCTTGATCTTGACTATCACTTTCAGGAGGAAATCAAAACAATTTTGCGGCAACATTATGTGGCAACAAGCACTTGTGATTATAAATACTACACCCTTCATCATGTTTCACTTTCTTTCACTCTTGAGACAACAAGGATTCCATGTACAAGCAGGTTAATTCTTCTCTCCTTTGAACCTTTTTTTTTTTTGGGTTGTGAAACTAGTAAGACGTTACTCCAAGGGCACCTTGGTACTCGGTATTGGACAGTCTAGTACATGAACAAAACAAGATTTTAACCCGTCTTTTTTTCTTCCTCATTCTAGCATAATAAGGGCTTGTTTGGCAAGGTTTTTGAAAATTCAAAAGTTGCTTCCAAGAATAGAAAGCTGTTTTTTGGCATGTTTGGATAATTCTCTGGATGTACTTTGTCGGGTTAGAAGAGCTTTAAAAGGAAGCTACCCGAGGTGGAAGCTCTTCTAAAAAAATGAAAAGCAGAAGCACAAGTCCGTTCAAATTGTCTCTAAATATATCAGAGTTTAACAGTATTTGCACGGGATAAGTAACAAGATTTTAAGTGGCTTCTTCTATAATCTTGTATGGTAATTTAGCTTGTTCTAATTCTATATGCACAGGATAACAAACATGATTTCTTTACTTTTTTCTTACATAGTATCACTTAAATAATGTCCAGTCGAGTATAACAAAACTATATAGTATCAGTAACCAAGTAATTATTCAGATGCATATTGCTGATTTATTCAACAACTTCAAGGGCAAGGATGGGAGGTTCATACAAAATCTAAGACCAGACATCATAGGATTGATGGAGTTGTATGAAGCTGCACAGCTTTGTTTAGAAGGAGAAGAAATTCTTGATGAGGCAGCGAATTTCTGTAGCCAGATTCTTCAAGAATTCATGAGAAATATGGATCAATTTTTTTCTAAAATTGTTAGTCACACATTGAGACATCCTTATCACAAGAGCATGGCAAGATTGAATTTGAACGACTTTGTTTTTAAATTTAAAGGCCAAAACAGATGGGAAACTACGTTGACAGAGCTGGTGAATATGGATTTTCAGATGCGAAAATCCGTGCACAGACATGAATTGCATCAAGTTTTCGAGTAAGAATACAAACAGTATACAATTCAATTTCTTGCTGAGAAAGCCTCTCAAATTCTCTACCTATCTACTAGTGTCAATTTCGAATATAAATACCTAGTAGTACCCTTTTATTTAAAATGTTATTCTGTGGAGCTTAAATATGTTGTTCACTTGTACTCTTGATTGTGAATCAACCTTCAGGTACATGTACAATTTTGGACATTCATATATTTGCATTAGATAGCTCTATTTACATTGAGGGTGAACCGCTATAAATCTCTATGTTTGTGAATATGTGCTTCTGTATGTTGTGTTGTTCATTATTGCGCTTGGGTTTGGATTAAGACTTAGGGTCCGTTTGACAGGACTTTTGAAAAGCAAAAAGTTGTTTCTAAGATTATGAAGCTACTTTTGAACATGTTTGAATAATTTTTTGGAAGCTCTTTATCGGTTAAATGAGCTTTTAGAAGAAGCTGACATAAGGTAGCTTCCTTATCAATAAGAAGCAGAAGCAGAAGCAAAAGCAAAAGCTCTTCCAAACAGGCCCTTAATCCCTAACATAAAATCAGGTTTTAATCCTCATTATTTTAGGTGGTGGAATGACCAGGGCTTGGCAGAGGAATTGAAGCTGGCTAGGAACCAACTAGTAAAATGGTATGCATGGTCCATGGCCACCTTAAATGATCCCTCCTTAGGGGAGCAAAGAATTCAACTTACCAAATGCATTGCTTTTATCTACATAATAGATGACATTTTTTATGTTTATTGGACACCCCAAAATCTGGCACTTTTCGCAGAAGCCATAAACAGGTAACAAAGATTATATTAAGAATAATTGGCCATTTCTTAACTTGTTCTCATGGTTTTCTCTTTTTCGGTATTTTTACCTAACTAGTTTTCAAAGTGAGAGATTCTATTTTTCCAATCAAAACGGCAAGTTCAATCCAGTTTTAACATAACTGCTTTTTCCTACCTACGGCCCAGAGTCAAACTTTACAAAATATGCCATTTATGTCTCCCATCAATTATATTTCACACACACATCGTCAAACTTTCAATCCGTGCACACTGAATGGAATCCGGGAGCATTGGTTCTCAACCTATTGCCTACATGACAAGTTGATCCTGACCGGTAAAAAGGAACATTCTGTCTTGTAAAACCGACATTAGTAGATTTGGCAAGTTTCATAATCAGCTTGAAAAGTTCAATAGAAAAGAAAAAATAAAATGCAGCTAATGATCCTTTTGGGAGGTGCCGGGGTGGGCTACAGATACTTTAAAAAAAAAACTAATTTCAAATATATGAATTATCATAGATATGTTAGTAATACATGTTTGTAGACATACATACTTGTGCAACTACTACATGAAGAAACTATCAGTTTATTGCATTAGAAGTCCTTCAGAATTAGCTCATCAAGAAGTTTAAATGCAGGCAATAGCTTTCTCTCCCTGCAAACTACGTCAATTAGTAGACTCCATGTATTTGGCTCTGGTTTAAACCCCATATCTATCAAAAGGAACGACGTTACAGCAGCTTCATTTGCCTTTCCGGCCTCACAAAGACAAACCAGTAATTCATTTGATGTGGCGAAATGGGGCAGAAAACCCCTCTCCAGCATCAGACGCAACAAATTATTCGCCTTCTCCAGTTCACCTTCTTTGCACAAGAAATTTAACACAATTCTGTAACTAGCCTTGTTAAGATAAACACCATCACATGGTAACCTCTCGAGCATGTTGAGTGCCTCATCAAATCTGCATTCTCTGCACAATCCCCCGAGTATTACATTAAACGTCACCTCATCTGCTTTGCACTCGTTTTCTTTCATCTCCTTGAGCAGAACAATGGCTTCATCAGTTCTAGCGGCCCTACACAAGAAGTTAATTAAAGTGGTAAAAATAACAGTATCGGGTTTCAGACCAGCACTTTTCATCTCATTGAAAGTTTCCTTGGCTTCCTCCAGTCTTCCCTCCTTACAGAACCCATTCATTAACACTGAGTAATTGATAACGTTAGGGTTGCATCCATTTTTCTTCATGAACTCCATTATCTTCCTAGCTCTGTCAGTTTTTCCTCCACGAGAAAACCCATTGATTAAAACACTGTAAGTTAAGGCATCAGGTACTATTTGATGTTTTGTGAGCATTTCCTCAAACAGATCGATTGCTTCTTCTAGTCTGCCGCTTCCACAAAGACCATCCATCAGAGTTGAATAGGTGATCAAGTTAGGAAAAGATACCTTTGACTTTTCCATCTCTTTTAACACTTCAAATGCAGACGCTAGATCTCCCTTTTTGCAGTGGTGTTTAACCAAAATGTTAAAGATGCATGTATTGGGTTCCAGATGAAAGTCTTTCCGGGCCGTTAATAGCAAAGTCCTGGCCAAATCAATTTGACTTGCATCAACCAGAAGATTAAGACACGTGCTGACTGCTTTGAGAGATGGCTTCTCACGTACAATAGGCTGAATTGCGTAGAACATTTCAAGCACCCTTTCGTGTAGAGATGATTTCGAGAAATGCTTCATAAGATTAAGAAATATGCCTTCTTGGAATTTGCACGTTTCGTAGGTCATCTGATGAAGAACTGTGTCAAGGGACTGATATTTCTTGCATTGAGCAAGCTTGTGGAGAATGATAGCATAGGTGGAGTTATTATGATTAAAACCCCTCTGGTGCAACACCTTGTTAAAAGTTTCTAGGGCACGTTCTGGATTATTTTCTCGTCTTATTAAGTTGATTGCCAAGTCATGAGAAATAAACTTGCTTTTCCTTGGCACTCCTGCGATAGTAGTCGGGGTTTCAGTTGGAGGGTTCGATTTACAGGATGTGGTTTTAAGGTGTTGGAGAGGAGACATCAATTGAATTGAAGATCCTAATGAGTAGCGACTCTTCCGGGCAGCCAATTTCACTGTGTCCATTCAAACTACTCAATCTCTGTTAAAAATACATCACCTAGTAGTTTGACAACAAGTAATGCAAAGGAGCTACCCTGCAAGCCAGAAAAATAAAAAAAATCTCTTAAAAGCAACAAAAAGTTTTACTTATAACTCTGTTACCATAGAAAACCAGCAAGGACAACCAAAAATTCCAAGTGAAATGAAAAATGAAACATCATGATATTCCAAGAAAAATTAAAGAACTCTATATTAATTATGACTTTCATCTGAATGGCTAACTCTCCTTTTCTAAGAACTTTAACTCTGAAGCATATAAAGTGAAACAATTGAACGTTCTTAGAGCATGCTAATCTCCATTATGCAGACTTGCATTCAAAGTATTGCTATACTCAGACCTGCCCTACACTCTACCATGAGTAAGGACTAATTCTTGTCTTCACAGATGACGCTTTAGCCTTTAGACTCACTTTGGAAGCCTTTAAGTGCAAGGGGGTCAGGTTAGGGGTAGGATAAGAGTATCCTTATTCATTGAGGAACAATAATCCAGCGAAACAAAGGACTTGCTTTCTCGAAAAGTAAGTTTTTTAAGTAAAAAAAGGCAACTTTTTACTTCTTTTCGTGCTCAGCCAAGAATGCTCTTAGTGAGACATTTTATCAGACGGAGTGTATGCACAATAACATGGAGGAATGCCCACCAGCTTAAATTGGCAGAAAGTGTATCAAAAAGTCTCCAATACCATCTGAAGTAAATCAACTTTTTTTCAGAGAAATCTAAAATGGGTACATGAATTCAGATAGAATCATAAGAATATTAAGCATAAAAGTACCAAAACTTAATGTAAATACCAGTTGAAAGCTCGCCGGAAATGGAGGTCAGTGATCGTCGATGGTCTACGGCGATCTTGGAGGCACTCCTTGGTGGTGAGCTTGTGTGGGATCTCTTCCTCTCTACATTGAATTGGTAGTAGCTACCCTCTGACCGAAGAAGAAGAAGGGCACGGGCGGGGAAGAAGGGGAAATTTTCTATTTCGGTCCCTAAACTTTATCAAATGAGTACTTAGGTCTAGAATTATTTTTTATTTTTTTTATATAAATCTTCAAACTTTTTCATTTCAATGTGAGTTGGTCCTTACTCGATGGAAATAAGTTTGCACAAAATTTTTGTACATTGGGCATCACTTTTGAGATTAGGCCGATGAAAGTTGCAGGTCAAAGATCGAGTTTTTTTTTTTACCAACTTTATAGCGTCAAAGTGTCTAAGATGTAACATATGTTAAGAAATATTTATAAATGATTTAAATTATAAATAGATAAAAATGAGTAGTAAATAAGAAGTATTATTCGTAATTTCTTTAAAGCATGTGAGTAAATAGTAACTTGAATGTTTATGACAATGTATAAACATGAGCCAAACCTCGAGTGTTGGAACAAAATCCATTGGAATTTATGAAAAGTTTGAGACAATTATTAATTTGGCCTTTGAAATCTAGGTTTCTTTGATTGGTCCTGTCTTAACATACACTGATCCCGATCGTAAGAAAATTAGTATCAAGGTGGTGTCGAAGCAGTAATATTATTATTGAAAGACATTTTGTACATGCTCAATTTTTTCATGTCGAGATGCCTGCTTTGAGTCGAGGCTCTGAAATTCCTGAGTATCTTCAACTTAGGCCTCTCCTCTTCAAGCTGATGGTAGATTTTGATAATAACCAGTCACTATAATTCAGGGCTCCTTTACCATGTATGTGCACCCCTAGGATCAATATGAGATTGGACTGGACTCGACACAATTATTAATGAGATTTTAGCTAAATTTTGCTTGTTTATAAGGTCTAGTCATATCCACACTGTATATCAAACACACACTTAATGTCAACATAACCCGCACATTGCCATATTAGCTCGGTGAAAATTTGGCTATGTAACGTGTGACGAGTAAACAAAGTGAACTAATCGTATGAGAAATGAGTTGCAGCTGCTAGATCATAGAACACCGATGAGACAAAATCAGTTCTACATTACATATTCATACCGCCTGCACGGTCTCTTTAATCTCATAGAACAACTATGAACTGGTCTCAATTTCGATAACTAACAGTAAAAGTCACCAATCGAAGATTCAAAAATAAGCAGAGTTTGCTATCCTTTATCGACATCCCATCTCCAAAAAACCCTCTACCTATTCAAGCTATTAGTGACATAATCGCATTTCACAGATAGTAATTTTACTCTGAAACCAATATGCCACCTGCAAACCAGCAAGCAACAATAACATTAATATTTTTGAATGGACATAACACAATAAGAAGTCGCCGTCACCATAATACAAGAAGTTAACACCAACGGAATCAATCATGGGAAAAAAATTCGTACCTACTGACCGTTCATCAAGAGGCAGATTCGGGAGTCGCTTCTTGTCTTGGTCTTCTTCGTTCAGCAGGAGGACCGTCTCTCTGTCTCACATATGCTCTGCTCTTGTATTTTGAACTTCTAGACTGCTTTGGTTGATAAGTTGGGTATTGGCAAGGAATTATCTCTCCATTAATGTACTTATCACCTGGAATAAAAATAAAATAAAATAACACACAGAGTTAATATTATATAATGGATCACTGAAATCACTTTACGATTTAGATCGAGATACAAAAATTGCTCGTAAAAATAAAGAACCTCCATAGTCCTTGTTCTTAACATCGATATATGAATCAGGCAGAACCCACAAAACACCTGGCAAACCTATAAATATGGAAACATGATTCACATAGTCGGTTTAGGACCTGAAAAATAAAAAATTCCTATGAAAGTAAAAAATGGATGCAATGGTAGAATGCACGTACCTTTGAATTTCTCTGATGTTTCTTCAGATACAGTGCATTGAAATCCAGTGTACGTGGTGGTACTAAAAGCATACATATTCTTCTTTGCTTCTTCCATGCTACAAAATTAAGAACACTCCATAAATGTCATATATATAAAAAAGTTCAGAAAAAATAATGTTCAGCCCTGTAAATCTTATATATCCCCACAACATACTCAAAGGTTTTAAGAAACAGCCCTATGTATATGAAACCCCCTTCTAGAGATAATTATTCTTTTTAATAATACATTCTCCTAGCTTTGTCAAATTATAATCTCAAAAAATTGGTTCTTGATACTCCATTCCATGAAAGTATACCATGTTGGATTGCATAGAAAATAGATACAATTCAATAAGGCATAAGCAATAAAAAAAAGTTAGAAATTTTGTCGTCTGTCTCTCCTTCATCTAAACAGTATGGGAATCAAATTACTGCAGTTTCATTATTGCTTAAATCAAGCACATAATAGTAGCATTTAGAAGGGCGCAGCAAAATCAATTTTATAATTTGCCAAATACACAACTATGTAGATGATATTATGGTTGATTAAGTTGGATATTATTATTTGATTTTTCATTTAGCAGAATATCATTTATGGTCTAAACACGTCTAAACACATCTCCACACTCCGTATTATGTTATACAGTTTATAATGCAAATAAAGAATTAAAGACCAAAGAATACTATTCACCTCAATCCACCACAATACAATCTATATAATACTATCTAATTGTGTTAAGTGCGGCGAACTGACCGGTCAGCAAATTTCTCCTGCGAGCCATTCATCAGCTAGCACAATTTGGCTCCGAGCTGAGAACTCACTCTCGAACTTTTGGGCTCATGTGCGAGCTGGCTCGCCCCACCAGGGGGCAAGCTAGTGTGGTGATTTGAGCCACACTTTGGTTGAGCGTCCGGCTCACCACATTTAACATTCCTATTCATTATAATTTTATACTAAATTTTTTAAACAATATATTCTTGTGCTCCAAACAAAACCAAATGGTTTTCACAATATACCACAGGATAAAGAGGGAAAAGGGGAAGAAAATGTTCACCACTATTACCTAATGAACAACATAAAGAAATACAAATTTCCCAATCTCATTGACCATAGAAAATATAGCTATATTTCTCTGCAAGCAACAAAAATAAAGAAAAAACAAAAGAAATTGTTGATCGACTCATCTAAAAGCTTAAGAGATCCATTTCTTTCAATATCAAAGTCTTTAACATGTGCATTTTAATAAATGGAGGTCTCTTACTCACTTTGATACCAAATTAACCATTTTTTTCTATCATTTAATTATTTATCTTCAACACGAACCATAATCCAGAGTTTCGATAACGAAAAGAGATTACAGAGGAAAAAAATCAACTAACCTGCCAAGAACAGTAGCAAGAGTATTGAGATAAGTCTCAATCATCTGCTCTCTGGTGGGAGCAGGGTCTTTAGGAAACTCCATGACAATAAGCCAGTGATTATAGTCACAGCCAGGTAACATTATCGTTTCCCTTTCCTCACTGCTGCTGCTTCTTTTGGAAGAGTAATCCCCATCAGTTATGGCTCTCAGCACAGGGAAAGCGGCAGTTCTTGATGGGATTTGGTATGTGGAAGTGCAGGGAAGGAATGATATGGAGGTGGAGTGAAATGGGCAGGAGTGATAAAGATTTGTTAGGGTTTTGTGGGTGGAATTTAACGTTTTGGGATGGAGAGAGAGGCTAAGAGTAGCCATTAGAGTGGAACTGAGGGAGCTTTTGAGCGAGAAGATGATAAGGTTTGAATAGAGATAATTTGGGAATTGCAGAATGTTCAATTATGTGCTGCGGATCTTCTAATTGGACTACAAACGCCATCAGCCCATTACAGGCCCGTCAAAATACTACATATCCTAGTCCAAGAGAGATGATAGTTAGAAGTGGAAATTACATACAACCCTACTTTTCAAGATCCAAATTCAAAAATAAGATATCAAGTTTTAATATTCAAAAATCAGATGTTTTATAGATAGATACATGTTTTTAATATTTAATTAAATATTAATAATATTATTATAAAAATTAAATTATATACACCCCACCCACCCCACCCCACCTTACCTTAAATCCCTAATTAATCACTCACAATTTCAACTCCATCGCCCCCTTCCCCCTCCAATCTCTCTG